TAGAAAGGTAAGTAGAACTAAAAGGAGCAGTTAATCTTGTCTTGTAAATTGTAGAGTTATTCTTGTCTCCAATCAAATGTCACCATATTAGTAGCCAACATTTTGCTAGTATTTTCATTTTCCATCCTCACATAATCACATCATGTACTACTGTGTATGTAATCATTTGACTACTGTTGCTATGTGTCTTTGCTCTGTGAGTCTTTGGGCAGTGAAAATATGCAAGTTATGAGTTCAGTTAGTTTTTTTTGTTGCTCTTGGCTGTAAAAAAACTTGTTGTATTTTTGTTGCTCTAGTTTTTCGATACTTTTAACAAATTGTGTAAAGTACAAAATTATATAGATATATAACATTTGTTATATATTTCAGAATGTTTTTGGAAGTTGAATTACGCATACACCATGGTGGGAATTTAATTAAAGATCCAGAATTGTCATATTCGAATGGTGAGGTAGAATGTGTTAGTCAGGACCCGAATAATATTTCCTATCCTCACTTGCTTAATGTATATCACCACTAATGCATATAGGAAAGTGGATTCATTATCATTCAAGCTACCTTAAGACAACATGCACATGCTACAATCACCGTGGAATGATGAATCTACCCTTCGGCTAATTGAAATGGCGATGAATTGGGGTGTAGTAGATATATATGTAGAGCACGGTATTGATGAGCCAGAAATCCTCCCCGAGTTTTCATTGTCTTCAATTGTAAATGCAAGGGTTCTAATAGATGCTAAAAATCAAACTGAGACAACACAGTTTGAAGTTGAAGAGGCTGAAATTGAAATTGAGACTACACAATTTGAACCAGCAGAGGCTGAAGATTACAGGGATGAGTCACATAGGAGGGGTGAGCAAGAATTAGTGCTCAGAGGATGAGGATGAAATAAATGAACATAGTGAAAGGAACACAAAGAAAGTTGGACAGACCTCCGTAAAGAAGAAGACAATTTTTTTTTTGAGTTGGCGTCAATTGACAATGATGATGATCAATGAATCGAGTATTATGACTCCGATGACCCACCAGTTATTTATCTAAATCTGATAATGAAGAGGAGCATAACTTTGAAGTCCTGTCCAAGGCGAAGCCAAGTTTGAAATGTGCATCATACAATCCTAATTCAGAATCAAAGACTTAGAACTGGAGATGTTATTTCAAGATGCAAAGCAGTTTAGAAGTGCATTGATAAGTTGTGTAGTTCACAATATATAAGAGGGATATTAGATGGGTCAAGAATGAGCCATTAATTCCCTTTCATATCACAAGCAATATATTTCAGGTCTAGAACTTGTACTTTTTCAGCTCCTGAAATCAGTAACTCTGGACTTTGTCCTTGTTCAACTTGATTCTCATCTTTCCAAGCAAAGTACTTGCAGCCTATGGTGCACGGATATGGATACACCGATACGCCGATACGCGAATACGGGTACGGCGATACGGCAATTTCAAATATTACAGGATACGGGTACGGGGTTATATTTATAAATAATAAAAATATAGGGTATAATTTGGATATATATAATTCAGAGGTACATAAATAAAATAATAATAGTAAAAAATTAACAATTCTAATAAAATTTCAAAGATTAGGCTAAAAAACTAAAGTGCTGATATTTCGATTTAAACTCAAATAATATCTTTTGTTCTCTATTTGCATTTACATCTAAGTTCTGTTTCAATTAATGTTCATCAAACGATAAAATAACAAATTATAGTATTTCATTATTTTCCATACTCTTGAAATCATCTTTATCAACGCTCCACATCTTGTGGTCGCTTGGGCGGTTACTAAATTTTCGGAAGTATCGGGTATTTTGGGTCAGATACACGTATCGGTTCACGGATACAGGTATCAGAATTATCAATATTTTTATAAATAAGCCCGATACTTTTATTACATTACGGATACAGACCCAATACGTACAGGACGCGTATCGGTGAGTATTGGTATCGGATACGTATCTGATACGCGGATACAGCATCAGAGTGAAGTATCCATGCATCATAGCTTGCAGCCTTCTCCTGAATTTTGAGGCACAAGTAAAATCATCAGAAAAATTTAGGATTCTGGACTGCATATGCCCCCACTAATCTGCCCCATTCATGCTCAAATTCTCAAAAAAATTAAGGATGAAATTAAGGCATGAAAGTGGAGATATGAGCTAAAATTCATCAAAAAATCATGAAAATAGTCATCCAATTTACACAGTCCAATAAATCATCTTAAAACTAATCTGCAAAAATTAACTTTATGAATGATTTAATCCTAATTTCACCCTAGAAAACTAACACTCACATTCTTTAAAATTAAAAGGCTGAAATTAAGGCATGGAAGTGAAGATATGAGCTGAAATTCATCAAAAAATCATGTAAATACTCATCCAGATTCCAGATTACACAATCCAATTTATTACCTTAGAATAATCTGCAAAAATTAATTTTATGAATAATTTCACCCTAATTTCCAATCCAAACACTCAAACTATCACCCTATTTGAAACGGACCATAGAGAATCCTTGAAACCTTCTGAAAAAAATAAATTTACAACTAATTTACGTTCTATCTCTGGCTACCAAAGAATCTCCTACGACTTTCTCTTGCCACACATATAGGAGACTTCAACCTGCATGAGCAATATATAGGTGGTTCCTAGCTCAAACTCAGTGTTATCCTTGGAGTTGATGTAAATGAGGAGAACGCCATCTTCAAGCTCGGACAAACACGAACACAGGAACCCTAATTTTGAGTCTGAGGCGTAAAACATACCGGTGGGATGGGTAAATGAGAAGGATGACATGTCATTTTAAACACTCTCAACTGGAATAGGTGGCAAAAGTTTATGTTATTGGGTTAAAATACCTCCACGTAATGTTAGAAATGGGACTAGTAGGTCATTTGCAGGTCACCTATAGCCATATGATTTTTTTAACGAGTACGCGTATATATGTGATGGTTTTCTAGTACACGGGCTTAAATGATGTTTTCTAATTTAACAAGTACATGGACTTATCTGACCCTTCCCTCTTTTCTTGACTATATATACTATCGTATTAAACAATATTTATATGAAGTACGAAAAAGAGCAGATCAGGTGAGAAGTGCTCTTAAGGCTGAGAACTGCGAAGTTAAACTTATAGACTAAATATAGGAACATTTAACCAATAAATCATAACTTATAGACCCCTCGAAAATAATTACGAAAAGGCCAGCGCAAAAAAATTATTACGTAAACATTGAAATTTTTTTGACGCGGGTGGCATTTTCGTAATTATTATAGAGAGCTTTATAAGTTATGATTTATTGGTTATAAGTTCTTATATTTAGTCTATAAGTTTACTGCGTTGTAAGATCAGATGCAAATCTAAGGGTTAAGATTACTTCTCTCTTCTCATTTTAAGGGGCACTTCTCACCTGATCTTTTCTCAAGTACGAAATATATGATAGTTACACTATTTTTAACTTACTCGAATATTACAACTATATACTTTGTATATAGCTCTTATAATTTGGAACTAATGTGGTGCTAATTTTTTTAGGGAAAGTTCTCGAAATAGGAGTAAAATGTTTGAAATTCCAAAACAAGACTGCTATGTTTTTATTTCCAAAATATGAGTAATTACTGCCAAGTTTGGAAAATACTGTCATGTTTGAAGTCTGGTACTGCCAAAACATGACAATAATTAGTCCTATTTTGGGAATAAAAACATGGCAGTCCTATTTTGAAATTTTCAAAATTTTTTACTCCTGTTTAGGGTAATATTCTCTTTATTTTATAATTTATTTTGTGTTATGCAAGGCATTTCAACCATTATATATAGAGGTAAGTTTAAACTTTAGACATCAACAATCACAAGTCTAAAAAAATTGAATGTACAATTTCTCAAAAAGGAACCCACATGGCCACATCTCCCCGTCACATTTCGGCTCTTTCATAAATAAAAATATCATTGAATACGAGTTAAAACGTTTTGAAATTGTAAAGTAGAACTTTCATGGTTTTATTCCTAAATATGAGTAATTTTTGTCAAATTTGAAAAAAAAACTGTCATGTTTAAAATCAATAATACCAAATTTGACGTAAATTACCCCTGTTTAAAGAATAAAAATATGACAATCGTATTTAAAAATTTCAAAATCTTTTTACTTCTATTTAAGGAATTTTCATTTCATAAAAGATTACTCATAACTAATTACGTTTTTTCTACCAAAATCAAATAATACATTCGTTCCCGCTTAAGTTCTCATTTAAAATAACATGCATTTTTAAATAAACTAAGTAAGATAATTTAAATGTATTATGAGAATAATTTGAATTAATATATAATATAATAATGTCATTGATGATAACTGTGATGTTATATGTGTATTATTTTAATATGTGCTAGTTAAATTATCATTTAGGAATGTTTATTATATTATTCCCTAAAGTAAAAATGAAAATCAATGAGAGGTCACTGCTTGTAGAATTTATGCTAAGGTCCACCATTTTCATCATTTTATGAATATAAACACACAATTAGACTGTTTTAAATGACAGATTAATTAAATGAATAATAACACATTTTCATCATTTGTATTTTTCTTTGGTTAACCAATTTATGGTTAATAACAGATTTGTACACTATTTTAAGTAATTCAAACTTACTTGACAAAAAATTAATTAATCGAAATATGGTTGACGATTGGGTCCATAATACCCTGAGAGGAATTTCAACGAAATTGATATTCATCGGACGTTGGACCTGTGAAAAATAAAAAAGAACCAAACCAAAATAGAAATATCGAAATACAAAAACAACAAGGTCAAAATCTCAAGGTCTAACATTAAAGTTTCCAGAAATAAAACCCTAGGCGGTAATTCGCCCACCGTAAAGAACATCTCAAATCATCGCGCAGTTTCCACCGTTCATCTCTGCATCCAACGGTTGTAGAAGAGTCTCCCTCGTGCTTATCATCCCGCTCACTCCGCCAATCTTCACACTTTTTCTGGAAACGTATTCTTATCTGTATTACTCTGTAGAAACATGTCCCAACTGGTAGAAATCCCTGTCTCCTACGCCGATATCTTGGTGAATTAGAACTTCGTTATAGTGTATGAGCTCTGCTTTTCAAACTTACATACTTGTAATTTATACGGAAAAAGGAAATTTTTACGAGTTTCGTGCTCATTGAAAGTGGATTAGTAGTGAAATTGAACTGAAGCTTCAAAAGCGACAGGATTTAAGGGTTCTTGATTCATTTGTGTATCACTTTGGAATGATTACTGATAGCTATTCGAAAATGTTGTCGGATGTCGGAATGCGATCAATGCGCGGAGGGATTGACGATGATTACAGCGAAGACATTGACGTGTTATGGAGAGAGCAGTGGAAGCGGGTCACAGAGGAAAGTGCGCAAGAGCTACAGCGGGAGCGTCAGCTAGAGAGGGAGCGAGAGCTTAGTGCCTTGCGGAGTGGTTCAGCTCCGCCGACTGTGGAAGGATCCTTGAGCGGTTATAGAGGTAAGTTATACAGCGGAGGCGGCGATGTTTATGGAGTATCGGAGGAGGAGTTGAGGTCGAGGTCGGATCCGGCCTACATTTCATACTATTACAAGAATGTGAATCTGAACCCTCGGCTTCCGCCACCATTGCTGTCCAGAGAGATTTCGCCCCTAGCACGGAAGGAATGGGGAGCGGATGGGCTTATCGGATTGCCAGAATTTAGCTTAGGGCGTCAGCGGAAAACTATGACGGAGGCGATTCAGGTGAAAAGCAAGGAAACCATTTTAAAATTATGCATTTGAAGTGATTTTGGTTTAAAAAGTTTCGAACTTTACCTATGAAATACGCTTGGATTGCATATCTGTGTAGGTAATAAGTTTTATCATATACGTTTGAAGCACTATTGTACTTGTGAAGTTTATTTCATTATGCTGGTTGTATGTGACTATTGAGATACTGAGTAGATTCACTTCCTCTTTGGGCAAATTTTGCATGTGTGTCAGTTCTCTGCATCATTTCCTTCAAACATATATTTGCTTCTTTGCGCTTGAAAGTCTGATAGCCACTGCTGTAAATGCCAGTTTTTTCTGGTGTGTGGGCGGGGGGTTAGGAGATCAAAAGGAAGAGCATGGTTGAGGTGATTCAGGTGAAAACAAGGAAACTGTTACCTGATACTCATGAAGTGGTTTATGTTTGGAAGCTTCGAACTTTAACTATGAAACATTTTTGGACTGAATTTCTATGTAGTTTTCCAGTCACTAGATATGTTACTTGCATTTCGCAAATATGAAATTTATTTCTTTACGCTAGAGGATACCTAAATACTTATTTGAGCTGTTTATTAAATTTACTTCCATATTTGGCAAATTTTCCAGTTTTGTTCTGTAAGAATCACTTTCCATGCTGAGTCAGTTATCTGCATTTTTGTGAAGATATACTCCGTGTTTGAATATGTGTCAATGCAGTTAAGTGGTGTTGATGAAGTTAGTGAAATTCTGGTGATGAATTTCAGCACTGCATTATTTTGTTTGTGGAAATATATTTGACTGTCTGTTAATGTATACAATTAGTGTTGAATTTTAGCTCTATGAAATGCCTTAAGTTGCTCTAGTTGCGGCTGATATTGATATAGTTGCTGAAGTTATGGTGTTGAATTTCAGCTATGCATTATTTTCTTTTGTGAAAAAATATTTGATTTTCTGTGTTAATGTAGACAATTGGTGTTGAATTTCAGTTCTCTGAAATGGCTGAAGTTGCTCACATTGTGGGGGATATTGATAAAGTTGATGCAATTGCTGAATTTTGTGAAAAAGATATGTTTAAATATATTTTATTCATAAACACAGAATAGATGTAAGAGAAAGTCTGTAATGATCATCTTTAGCAAAAAGTACCTCTATGCCTCTAACCCTACTCCTTTTCGTTATTTACTAGTTTATCATCCAGTGCTTCAAATGTTTGTTAGAGTATCTTATGAACTGAAAAAGTGGCTACCAAGCAACCACTTTACTTTAACTATTGCTATTACTATCATCATCATGGTCATCACTGGCATAATTATGTTTCCTTGCTCTGAAGACTTTTTTCCTAATGTAGGATGATGTTGCTGAGGCTTCTGAGTCACAATTTATGCATTTATCTCAAAATGTTGTTTCAACCAGTACTTCTCGCACTTATGCTTCTGCATTGGGCGCTTCACAATCAAGAAGTACCACTTCTGATGCCACAGATTTGGTTGCTGGTTTGTCTGGCTTAAGTCTGTCTGTGAATAACATGCCAGTAGGTGAAGGCAGCCATCCAAAGTATCAAATGGATCATGAAACTGACAATCAGAGGAACTTCATGAATTTGCTGAATGAACAGAGCCATGTCAGGGAACATCCACCGTTCTCGGGTTATGCAGTTGGTGGTTATGGCATGAATACTTCATCACCGTCCATATTGAAAAACCAGCAAATGGGCCTTAATATGCCTACTTCATATGATTCTTTTGCTTCTGGCACATCAATGAGTGCCTCTGGAGTTGATTTTCAAGAAATGGGGGGTGGTTTCAACTTGGGACCTAATTTTTTAGCTTCTAATCTCTCCAGAGGTGGGACTCAAAGCATGGGAAGCTCAGTGCAAAATCAACCGATGGATCCCTTATCCATTCAGTCCTTGAGATCTAGAGAATTTGCTGCATTTAATGACCCAACACGTAATCGCGCAGCTAATGGAAATGCATATATGGATTTGCTTGAACTTCAGAAAGCTTACGTAAGTGCGTTCCTTGCCTCACAGAGGCCACAGTATGGCCCTGCTTGCTTTAGTCAAAATGGGGGCTTAGATCATCAGGGTTACTATGGTGGTATATTCCCTGGTAGCCCTCTGGCAGGTCAAGCTCTTCCAAGTTCCCCTTATGGACCCAGCAGTCCTTTCAGGGGTGGGGAAAGGAACATGCGTTTTACATCAGGAATGGGTAATATAGCGTGGCAATCTGATCCAATTTCTAATATCGAGGGAAGTTTTGCATCCTCATTGTTAGATGAGTTTAAAATGAATAAAACTAGATGTTTTGCATTATCAGAAATTGAAGGTCACATTATTGAGTTCAGGTATCCTCTTCTTTCTTTATTACTCTTTTTTAAAAATAATTATTCAACATGGACCCCTGAATTGATCTTGTAAAATGTTCTCTGTGCAGTGGTGATCAGTACGGAAGTCGATTCATTCAGCAAAAACTTGAAACCGCTACTGTTGATGAGAAGCATATGGTGTTTGTGGAAATCATGCCTCAAGCCTTATCCTTAATGACTGATGTTTTCGGCAATTATGTAGTGCAAAAGGTATTTCGGCATTTAATTTATCTTTTAGTGCACAACACCCATCTTCCATTTTTACCAATGGCACAGAGATCGTAGTTTTTGGCGGTCGCTTGCTATTGGCTCTAACATGCTTTTTTTGTTCTCAGTTTCTTGAACTTGGAAGTGCAGCTCAGATTAGAGCATTGGCTGACAAACTAACTGGACATGTTCTGGACCTTAGCCTTCAAATGTATGGCTGCCGAGTCATCCAGAAGGTACGCTACGTTCCTGTTGCTCCAGGTTAAGTATGTTTTGCCTCGCACTATTATTGTTTTTTTCTGAATAAAAGACTTGCACACACACACACACACACACACACACAAGAATGTTCAGGTCCGAATGTTCGGACGGGAGCCTCCTTCCGAACACCGCCGTTTGGGGCGGTTCCCGGTGGATTTTTTTTGATGAAATTTTTTGAGCATGTTCCTCATCAAGTCTAGTTTGTCCATACCAAAATTCAGCTCAAAATTCGATCGGGAAGGCATCCAAATAATTTTTTGAAGTTGACTGCATTTTTATATGCATATTTTGACGCAGTCAACTTCAAAAAATTATTTGAATGCCTTCCCGATCGAATTTTGAGCTGAAATTTGGTATGGACAAACTAGACTTGATCAGGAACATGCTCAAAAAATTTCATCAAAAAATTCCACCGGGAAGTGTCCCAAATGGCCATGTTCAGACGGCGTTCGGACCGGGGGCTGCTGGACAAGATCATTCCTATATATATATATATATATATATATATCTTGAATATGGTTGATCACTATATTTCTTGTTTTTCTGGACTTCTAATTATGCATATATTTATAGTTGGAAATTAGTAGTTGAACCAATAATTTTATTTTTACCTTTTTCTGAAATACTATCCTCTGTTCTTTAAAGGTTGCAATAATTTGACTTTCACGTTTGTCATCGCACAGGTTTGACTGCAATTATATATAATTACGTATTAGTAAACATTAAAACAGTTCATAATCTGGAAATTTACATTAATAGAAATTTAATAATATTTTATACATAATAGTTTGATAACTTTGATTATATATTATTATTAAAAAATTATAGTCAAAGTAAGGTATGTGAATAGTGCAAAAATCTCAATGTTGCCACTTAAAAAACGGAGGAAGTATATCTTTTATGGTATTCTGTATGGACTATATAACTATGAAAAGTTCAGTTTTAGAAAGTTGTTAACTATGGGAATCTATGTATCTATGTTCAATGAATTGTAGTTCCTTCTCAAGTTCGTGTGTCTTTTGAACCATCTTTGGACACATATAATTGAAATGTCTATTTGAAAGAATAGGCTATAGAGGTGGTCGAGCTGGACCAAAAGACAACTATGGTCTCAGAGCTTAATGGTCACATCATGCGTTGCGTTCGTGATCAGAATGGGAATCATGTAATCCAGAAGTGCATTGAATGCATTCCCGAAGATGCTATTCAATTTATGATCACTAAGTTTTATGATCAAGTCGTGACTTTGTCGACCCACCCATATGGGTGTCGGGTGATACAGGTTAGCAAAGCTAAAAAACTGTTTAATGCATCAGCTTGTGAATGATTGATATTATATGATTTCAATGTAAATGAATTATATTATTTTAACTTATATAAAACGCATGCTATTGTAACAGAGAGTCTTGGAACATTGCCATAGTTCTGAAACCCAAACAAAAGTGATGAGTGAGATTTTACAATCTGTTATCATGTTGGCACAAGATCAGTATGGGAACTACGTTGTTCAGGTTTGTTCTCTTTCTAGAAGCTTATGCACCATTCTCTATCATGCAGTTCCTTTCTTTGCAGGCTGAACTATAAACTATATTTTCCTAGTCTTGCATACATTACACTTCAAATTCCACTTCACCTAAAGGGGGGAATGCTCATGAACTTAAACTTGTAATATATTAGTATGAGCTATTGAGCCGTAACTTGAAAATATGTGTGCAGGTCTTGTGCAAAATGCGTGCAGGTTTTGTGTGCATGGTTTAATGAGCATGTGCTCTTGTATTTTTGTGATGAATTCATGAAATTAATAATTTTTCCTTGAAAATTTTTTCAATAGAAATTTTTGATTACATCAAGGAATGGGTTAGAATATAAGTGTATCAACTATCAAGGTTGCACTAGAGATTGATGTTTTTATTCTGTTGTCACTTTTATGCATCCATACAAAAATGTTCTTATTGTTTTCTCCCTCTATTGCATAATGTTCTTCTCCACTTTTATACAGTTACCTTTTATCTAATTGAATGTACTTAATGACAGCATGTACTGGAACATGGAAGGCCAGATCAACGGTCTGTTATAATTGGTATGCTGATGGGCCATATAATTCAGATGAGCCAACAGAAGTTTGCCTCCAATGTTGTGGAGAAGTGCTTAACTTTTGGAACACCTGAAGAGCGTCAGCTCTTGGTGAAAGAGATTCTTGGCTCTGCTGATCAAAATGACCCTCTTCAGGTTTGTGTGATTCCTGACATTTTTTTCAAGGTGGTAATTAAAATATTTTCTTTTGTTTGGTTTTCCAAGTGAAATTTGAAGGAAAATGGAATATTTTTCTTTTGTATTCGAACACACACACACATACAGAAAGAGAGATTTCTTAATCTCAATATAATATTTACAAATGAATAAAATGTGTGAAGTAGTATCTACCATAATTTCATTGAGATCTAGCCTATCTTTTATTTTATCACATTTTATTCCTCCAAAGTTTCCTCTATGATTTCCTACCTCTTTTTTTTCCTAGTATCTTCCAGGGGTACAAAATGACCTCAAGGAAATGATACTTTTTTGTATTTTAGGATTACATTTTGCAACACCTAATTGTTCCTACTCTTAATGACTTGTTGTCATGCAAAGGCAAGTTGCACCCTTCTTAAGTTCTACACAAACATTGCACAGGTGTTGATGAAAGATCAGTTTGCAAACTATGTTGTGCAAAAAGTGCTTGAAACTTGTGATGATCACCAACTTGAACTTATCCTGGACCGGATAAAGATTCATTTGAATGTTCTGAAGAAATATACTTATGGAAAGCATATAGTTGCGCGTGTAGAAAAACTTGTTGCAGCTGGAGGTACATCCCCCCCATTATGATGGACAAAAGAAATCTGCCCTTGGAAATATTGTGTTATATGATGTTTAAGAATTAAGAGGTCATTTGGAAATTATGAATTTGGTTGAAATTGTGTTTGATGCAGTTGCTAAATATGTAGAAAACTGCCCTCGTGCCTCATAAAAAGAGTCATGTTTGATCAAATAAATATACTCCCTCTGATTCAAAAACAAGTTCCAGTTCGGTTTACTATGCTTAACTGACGATAAAGCAACTCGATCCCTGTTCACACTCAGATTATTTTTAGTAAATAAAATTAACAGATTAAGAAACTACATTAAAACCGCTACAAAACTTGATCAAGAAAATTTCAATTTAATAATAATTTGATATATATAATAAAAGATTAGGAGTGACTTAAGTTGATCAATGAATAGTGAAGTGGAACTTGTTTTTGAATCGGAGGGAGTAATATTTTAAGAAAGTTGCCAAAATTGATTAACATATAACTTTCATTTGATAAATACAGGTTAACCATGAAAAATGTTTCTGAAATAAAAATATATTTCATGTTGATCATTTATGTGATCATGTTATAACGGTTGTACTTTGCCAAATGTATACTCCTTATATGGCAAAAGCAGCTACCAAGTGAACTTGATTTGAATATGTTTTTCCTTTTCTGCAGAGAGGCGGATAGAGTTTTTGTCATCGTACTCAGCATCAGGTGAGATGGCATAGGAAGAAAACTGTACAGGTAAAAGAGGGCTTAGACAGAGTGTCCCTTTTCTCGTGTCCTGGTTTAGACAGTCCCATAGATCAGAGTGAATGTTATTAGGAATAACATCTGAGGTATGATTGTAACTTAAAAACAACTGTAGATTTGTTAAAATATTCAGGATATACCTGTAACATAGAATGGCAGGCTGAGAGATAGTAAAACAGTCTATGGCCGGCCCCTGCAAGGAGAGCTTAAAGGTATATTTGTAAAAGTTGTGAGGGTGTAAACAAAAAGTAGGAAACCTGTAGGGGTCTGTGACAGAAATTGATAGCTCCAGGCATTTCCTGAGTATGGGTTTATATTTTACTTATGTAATAACTTATGTTTCATAAGGCAACCTTTTTTCTGATACCTTTTATGGAATATTATTGTTATATGGTATATCAGGGATACTATTGAATATGATGTGATGTTCATGTATGTAATCCTTGTACACAAATGTTGCACATTGCTCATAATCTAATTTAAAATGAAAAAACTATTTAGTAGTAGTGAGGAATGGTTTGGTACTTTGGTTCAATTTTCTGAAGTTTTGGTCTTTTGGACAATATGCATGATTGCATGTGATTTGCGTTTGCCAATTAATATGGTTAAGTATTGAAAAATTCCCAGCTTTATCTTTTCCACTAATCGAGCCTATAATTTTAGAAACTATTATAAATAAATGCACGTTTTTTGAAATTTGTAATTAAAAATAATTTATTTATGGGGACCAAGACCCACAATTATATGCTCCTTCCATCTCAAATTGAGTTGCAAATTTGGTTTGTTTAAATCAAGTTGACTCATTCTATTTTTTACAATTCAAAATTAACTTTTAGTTTTTATTTTACAATTTGATAGAGATTTTATTGTAATTCTTGAATATTAAAATTGATTTAGTTATGAATTGGGAAGATTTAACTTTAATATTGGTCATTTGGTTGATCAACAAATGTTGATTTTGTAAAACAATTTGAATTTTGGAATAGAGGTATTACTGTATATCTCATTCACTTTAAGTTCAGGCGCTCTTTAAGTGTTTCAGTTGTGTTTTCTTACTTTTCATGAATACACATATTTGTGAGATCGAAAATCGAAAATTAATCTTTAATGGTTTAGGGTTGATTTGCAACTGCTTAAAAAAAGCACTCTTCAGCTTTTGCCTTAAAAACACTTATTTTAACAAACACTATTAACTTTTATTCTTTCAACTTTCATGTTAAAAGTGCTTTTACTTTTTCTATTACACAAAAAACACTTATTTTATCACACTACCAACTTTTACTTTTCAAAATCACTTTTTTTTTCCAAACACTATCGACTTTTATTACAATCACTTTTTCATAAAAGTGTTTTTTTAAGCAGAAATAGTTGCAAACACTCTCTTAGTGACCCAAATCTAGACAAGAGGCCGTAACTCAGAAGTTAAATTTCATTAAAGATCTAAAAGAGTTGTCATTTTATGTACTATTTTATCTTTGTAGAAGTATGCTTTGAGGAGTTTTAGATAAATCAGAAAATTTACAAAGTTTGTACATATTTACTTTTGATGGTTAGTGATAGCAAAATTTTGATAGCAAAATTAGAATATTTATGGAATATATAGTTTATAAATTTTATACTTTTATAAAAATATTTCTAATAGAAATATTTTAATATAATTTTCATATTCAAAATAATTTTGTGTTAAAAAATATCATTGATCCAAATAAGTATTATGGACAAAAAAGCTCAATTTTGCGAACTTTTTGGAACCAAGAGTAGGAAAAATTGAAAGTAATGATATTCAGAGTTTTGATTAGATATTACACGTATTAAAATCATGGGCGAATATACCGATTAAAGTTGGTATACGCATAATTCATGGTCATTAATGCTTTAATATGCATAATTCATGGTTAATATTGTTTAAAATGGGAGCAAAACTCCAAAAGTACTCACATGGCCGTATCTCATAAGTGGTCTGTAACACTTGAGATTTAATATAAACGGATTAATAGTACTACTCATACCAACAAGATGCATCTCCTTTTAAGGGAGCTCATCACCAAGAACTCCAAAGTTAAGCGTGCTTGCACGGGAGTAGTCTTGGGATGGGTGACCCCCTGGGAAGTCTCTCAGGGCGCGCATGAGTGAGGACAAAGTGCGCGGTAAAGGCTAGTGGCGGTTTGTGAGGACAGTACTATTGGTCCGGAGTAACTACCTTGGGTCCGGTGGGGGCCGAGGTGTTACAGGTGGTATCAGAGCAACCCTGCGACAGTTTGCTGATCCGTTGGATATCGGGCAGACACCTAGCAGGGGAAAAGTTTTCTGGGATTTGATTGAGATTGGTTTAAGGGCGCAACGAGGACGTTGCGATCCTAAGTGGGGGTGATTGTAACACTTGAGATTTAATATAAACGGATTAATAGTACTACTCATACCAACAAGATGCATCTCCTTTTAAGGGAGCTCATCACCAAGAACTCCAAAGTTAAGCGTGCTTGCACGGGAGTAGTCTTGGGATGGGTGACCCCCTGGGAAGTCTCTCAGGGCGCGCATGAGTGAGGACAAAGTGCGCGTAGAAGGCTAGTGGCGGTTTGTGAGGACAGTACTATTGGTCCGGAGTAACTACCTTGGGTCCGGTGGGGGCCGGGGTGTTACATGGTCGCTTTTTTCTTTCGATCTTATTTGGCTGTATACATTATTATTTCTGGTATTAAACTATTAAAGTACGACTTAAAGTACCAATCCTTCTATTATCAACACACTCATATGTGTCAGTTTATTAACACATGACGTTAAACCTAGGAGTTCAAATGTATAAGGAGTATGAATTTTGAAGTTTGATGTCGATTTTCTAAAAGTTTTATAACTATTTAATGAACTTCAAAGTTACATAGATTCGTTTTCATCTGGTTGATACCGGTTTGGGTGTATCCATCGATATCAATATACAAACTTATCTCATTGGTCTGGATTGACCGGATCAGAATTGCAGTCCTGCTGCGGACACAAATGGGTGCTGCTTCCTTTCAATTTTTTTTACCGTATATTTACTCTAAAATTTCACTAACATTGGATCATGAGGGGCTGACACGATTAATAAGAAAAGTGATTTTATGTGGTTGATTTTGAATTGATAAAATAAAAATAAAGTAGAAATGATGTAGAACCATACAAACATGATTTAAGCTTTGGGTGTTCATTTCTTTGTACAATTAAAATTTGAAAGAATAATAAATAATTAAATTAAATTTATACATGTATACTAATATGTTTTCCAAAATTCCAAGTGTTCAATTGGACACTCTTGAATTATAGTGGCTCCGCCATTGCATACAAAATTTACTCAAATTGATTTGAGACAATCTTAACGGACAGATGGAGTAATTAATACTCCGTATATACGTAAAGTATGTATTTGTATGTATTTTTTACACTACTGCACCTGCGATCCTATTGAGAATTTTTGCGTCCGCCACTGCCGTCAGCCGCCTCCATTTGTATTTTGAGATGTTTTTGAGTGGTTTTATTTGATGAAATTATATGACCATGATCCCGAGCTTCTGCCCCTCCTTGTCACCATCACTGAATGTTCTCGGTAATACATGCATACACACTACTCCCTCCGTAACTTAAAAATCTTCTCACTTTCCTTTTTTGTCTGTAACAAAAAAATCTTCCCATTTCCAAATCTTCCCATCATACCCTCAATAATTCTTAAAATAATACACTATTACAACTACTTTTTTTGGATTTATCCTACATACCACCACATTATTCCACTATTTTCCCATCATACCCTCAATAATTCATATCAGCTTTCACTATTCTTAATCTACCTACTTTTGAAATGAGAAGATTTTAAAGTTAGGGAGGGAGTATGAAAGAAGCCTTAGAGAATACTAACAGACACAAAAATATTTAAATATGATAGGATAATGCAGATGTGCACGAGCACCCAGCTGGCTGGATTAAATACACTTGTGTTTGTCTCTTCCTTTTGGCATTCAAACTGTGTTCCAAACACTACAGGAGTGTAGTAGTTAGTACAAAATGTACATATGGAAACCTTTTCCAAATGGAGAACAAACAAAACGTGGATAGGTGCAGAACCTTCCCAGAATGTGAACCCAATCTTGTTTTCTTTTTGGTCGTTCCCTGTCTGGTTATTTCAAGTACAATGCATTCAGTCTTTTGTTTCTTTCCATACATAACAAAAAAGTGAGCCATCAAGCTGCTAAGCATGATACTTTTGACTCACAAAAATGGAAAAGAAAGGTTGTAGGCTTTGCATTATTTAATTTAGCAGTGTGAGTGTGTGACATTGACGTGCAGAATTATTTGCCAGTCGTGGTCATGGTACATTTTTAGTAAGGGAGGCCGTTTTTTACGTTAGCAATTTCCTCTTTACCATTTGTTTTCTAAAAACTCATAATAATAATTTCTAATAATTACGAGTACTTTTAATTAGTAGCATATAATAATATACGGAGTAATAGATTTGAAAGCACCCCCCACTTAATGCATGTTACAGTGAAAAAACAGTAAATTAGTTTGTGTAATAAAAGAGCTCTAAAAGTCGACCTTCATATATCAAACGACTAATTGAACAATATGAATTGCGAAAGAAAAATAATAATATTTGATTAATTATAAAACATTTGTTGAAAGGTTATTCATCCATTTTGATGGTAAAGTAGTAGTGTTCAGAAATTGCTCTAAATAGGAGTAAAAACGTTTTGAAATTTCAATATAGGACTATCATGTTTTTTATTCTCTAAATAGGAGTAATCTGCTAAGTTTGGAAAAAAATGTCATGTCTAAAGCCTAGTAATGTCAATCTTGACAGAAATTTACTCCTATTCAAGGAATAAATAACATGATAATTTTATTTTGGAATTTTAAAACGTTCTTACTCCCATTTAGGGATTGTTTTTAAAGTGTTTAATTAGTGAATGTTCACACACACAAACGCCTGTGCACACACACCTGCTATTTTACATACGAAGTAAATGTTTCTTTGAAAATTCAATAGGTACTCCATACCAAACAGAAGTTTTAAAGCTAGTTTAAATCTAAATTAATTACGGAGTATGTACTATGTGTTTTTTGACAATGTACACATCTTTACATATAATTTCAATTAATCTTTATTAGACAACCAGATAATTCATTTCACTGATTTTAGGGAGAATGTACAAATATACCCTTGTAGTATGAGTGTGAGAAAAATATATCCATATTCTATTTTCTGGAACAAATTTATCCTGAATTTTATGTGGAAGTGCATATATATAATCCTACACTTTTAAAAGAAGCAAAAATACCCCCAATGTTCCTATAAAGCAGTGAATGTACCTTTATTCACTTAAAATAAATAAAATATATTTTAAAAAACACTAAAAATAAATTTTAAATTTGAAATTGAAAAATAAAAAATTAAATAGTTTTTATTTTTAAATAAAATTAAAGAGTTAAAAATGAAGATCTGTTTTAGGTTAAAGTATAATTCTTTAACTTTAAATTTCAAAATTATTGTTTTTCCGTTTTAAATGAAGCACTTCAAATTCATAAATATTCATTTTAGTCTTGTTGCATATTTTGAACACATTGTTACATTTTTTGAAATAACATTCTTTGGTTTTGTTTAACCTTAATAAAATTAAATTCACTATTTTGTAATCTTGGATAATTTATCATCATACCAAAAAAGTAATTTTATAGTGAAATGAATATAAAAAAATTATGATTTTTTACATTGCAACAGATATGTTAACACTTTTCTGAAAAAATCTTAAATATATAGTAACTTTTTGAAATAATATTTATACTAACAATATTAAATAAAATAATAAAAGGGAGAATCAGACACAAGTACATTTTATTTTTTTATTTTTCAAATTCAAATTTATAATTTATTTTTGGTGTTTTTTGAAATTTATTTTATTTATTTATAGTTAATAAGGGTAGATTTCTACTTTATAGGAACATGAGAGATATTTTTGCACTTTTTAAAAGTTCAGGGTTATATATGCATTTTCACATAAACTTCAGGGGGGAAACATAGAACACAAATATATTTGTTCCTACACCCACACTACAAGTGTATATTTGTACCTTGATTTTATTTGAATATTTCACAGTGTTTTTACAATAAAAGTAAACTTAAAATTAAAAATATAATTATATTATCACAAATGTTACGTTGTTGATACACATATTTTGCACACTTTTTGTGTACACTCCCTAGTTATTTGTACAATTCATTTAGAAGTTGCCTTATAGACGGACAATTAGGGGCGTAGACAACTAGACAATTCAAGAGATGTACAAAATATGTGTACACAAAAAAGGTTCTTATATTATTATAGAATTGATATCGTATATTTTAAATTAATAATTTTTCGAGTATTTTTTTGTTCAACTCATTCTAAATCTTATTTAAAGGTTTAAATGATTTCAATAACAAAATATGGGGGCTTGCAAATTTTATACGTAGTATGTAGTAAAAGTATAATAACTTATAAAAATATTATTCCGTATATGTATATACTAAATTTTTCTTAAGTTTCGGGTGTGGCCGGGGGTGGGGGTAGCACACTGCACACGTCCCCGAAATCCATCCCTGTCGTGGGTAGATGGTAACATAGATGTGATCTGTAATGGAGATATTATAAGCGGAAATGTCCAATTAATATGACCCAATGCCTACTCTTTATTACATTCTTTAGACAAGTTTGCCCTTCTAAAGTTCAGTGTAACCCCTTTTATGTTTTCTTTCCAAGTTTGCTCCGTCATTAGGAATTCAGGACTTTACATCTTAACTGATCGTGACCTATCTCAAATTTCAATTTTATTAATTTTTATGGTAAAATAATTCGTGTAGAAATGCTACTTCGACTGATAAGTAGAGATGTTTCCTTTTTGCATAGTATGCTTGAAATCAATTGGACCGCTCATTTTCTTGCTAATCAGGCTTCAACTCAATAGGAGGTTTTCAATTTAGTTTTGGATCTTCCATTTAGGGCAAAAAGGCTTATTTGCTAGACCTTTTTGGGATTTCATCTATTAGATTAAGTTTTTAAATTTGCTTGTTAAATTTTTGCAGAGGCATGCCTCTTTTGGAGAGGTTTTGGTTTGATCCCTTCTCATTTTGCACTTATTTTTTTTGTAATAAAATTAGACAAATGTTCCTTGCCATTTGCACTGATTTTGATAGTTGAACACTTGACCTACCCGGTTATAGAAAACATCGTGACTAGAACACTGTTAATTGAGGTTTGAGACGGGAAGTAGTCCAATTAAAAACATGCCCAACACCAAAACAATACATTTTGTTTTACACACTTAATGTGATTCATAGCGATAAAAACCACCCAGATCCCAAAAATTTAAATTGAAACTAAATCAAAAGAAACATAAATCCAGAGCTGAATTTTTATTATTGAGGCCAGGGCATATCAGATAAATCAAAGTACGTCAATCACATAAATATCCAAACAGGAAATTAAACCCCAAAAAGCAAATATGTTAATTGTTCTTCATTTCTTCAATTCTGGGGGCAGAATGTAATCACATACCGCGGCGCTTTGCAGTTCTTCAGCCCAGAAGATTCATCATAAGCATAGCTATAAGCACGCGGACAAACATTCTTAAACAGATTCGAGAAAACCGATGGTTTACACACATTCTTGTCTGCAAATTCCCCTGTACAGCAATACTTGGGATTCTTAGTAGCCAAACACGCGCTCTTGCACCCCACCACCTTCCCATGCAACACCACAGACAAGTTCTTCGGGCACAAAACGTTCAGGTCCATCTCACACGCCGCCACGCCGCAGCCGCTGCCTCCGCCCACCGGGATCATAGAAACGGGGACGTTGAACCCGTCGACCAGACTAACGTCATAGTAGTGCTTTTCATTCGTTGGGGTTCCCATTGTCATCTCCACGAGGGTCGCCGGTGGCGTTCCACCCGTGCCAGAGCAATGGAGCATGCCAAAGCAGTCCCCAGTCTGGCACGAGCCTTGGCCGTTCCTGTCGAAGGAACAGCCGTGTCTGGGCCATAATCTCCCCGACCATCTTTCGGGGAGATTAATGATGGTCTGGTGACCGACGGGGAGGTGGAAACCGCCTTTTTCCAGTGTCTCGTGCCCGGCGTTTCCGAGAATTCCAGGCCATATGCTCTGTTGGCAGTTGTTCACAACTAGAAGTTGGGTTCCATCAGCGGCCCAACTGGAAATGAAGTATATGATCAAAAGAGAAAGGATTAGAAGAGTTTGCATGGTTTAATTTGATGTCTTTGTTGTACTCTGTACGTCATTACGCTAATTACTTATAAGTGTCAAATAATGGAGGCTTATTAGGTTCGTGATTTGGGAAACAGTTTCATCGTGCTCCACTTTTCCAGGACACACTTTCAAACGTAACTGTCTATTATCAATTGTGGAGGGTAGTTAAGGGAAAGTGGATATTAGGGTCAGGCCAGTCAGAGATCATGCATTGTAAGTGATACTTCTCTCTCGTCCTAATAACTTTGTCAAATTTGACCGTTACGAAAATTAATAAAATCAAACTGTGTGGTTGAGGTTTGTACAGATGACAGAAAATTAACTAGAACCACAAATTCTTTACTTAAAAGGGAAAATGACAAAATTAAGGGAACATCCCAAAAAGGAAAGTTGATAAAGTAATAAAGAAGGGAGGGAGTAATATATTTCCACCTCTCTATAAACAATACGGAGTATATTTCCACCTCATTTTTTTTAAATGTAAAAGCAGTCCAATTAGGCCCCAAAATGTAAACAAAATGTAAAAATTTGGATATTAGGGTAATAGATGAATCAAATACGTACTGGTGTATTTATTGACGCATTACAAAGAAACTAATAATGTACAAATGTAAATTCAAGTGTTTAGATCGAAATCCCGAGCAATTTTATGGAATCAAATGTGACTCCCTTATGGTTGTATGATCTCTATTATTTTAGAGATCTATGGAATCACATGACTATAGTTGTATGATCTCTATTATTTTAGTGGGTGTCTCAACTAAAAAAATGGTAGAGATCATGACACAATAGTCCGAGTGATTCGATCCATACAAGCATCTTTAATAAGGATGTGGATTGCAGCTTATAAAATATGGACATGTCACTTACACAGACGGTCTATCAAGATGAGGTGGACACATGAACAATTCTAATCCTAATTACACTCTAATGGAACCATCCACTTAAATAATTGGGTTTACTATTCCTACGCCACATCACACCACTAGAACCTGTTGTAGGCTTTATTTAGTATGAAGCAAAACACTTACGGAATACTACTTATATTATTTGTTTTGATTTCTTTTTTATCTGATAAGCACGACTCTCTAAAAATAACAAACTGCCGAGAAAGAAATAAAACATTTGCTGAGTCAGAGTATGGGATAGGCATGCTGAAAGTAGAAAGCGGAGTTGAGGGTATGCATTTTTTTAATTCCAACTCCGCGCCATGGCGTGTATAGACATTCTCGCTGGAGTAACGAAACTTACCTCATGGTCTCTATACTAGGTGGCAATTCATTTTTGGTAGATTCTATGGTACCCAAAAGGTACCATACCTTTATCCACTTGGACCAATCAGAATGTTGCAGTTGAATTATTTAAATCTAAATTAAAAACGATTTAATGATTTGGATCAATCATGTGAGTGTTAGATACGCTACCTTATTTTTTAAATGAGTACCGGAGTTGTCACCTTCATTTTTTAGGAATCCATAACCCCATTAATGAGGCTCTAAGTGAGTCACATGTAGTTTTTTTTTTTTTTTTGTAGAAATCCCGTATGGACTATACGAAATATCGAGCATAATTCTACGAATATACAAACAATAATGGAGGGTATTTCTTCAACTATATGAAGTACTCAATAATTCTTCTTGGGCTAAAAGTTATCAGATCAATCAATTAAGGCAACCTAAGTAATTAATTAAGAAGAGATTGTTCAAAAAAGGACTAAAATACATACAATGTGCACAAATAGAAGTATTTATATTGTTTAACCAAGCATTCCAGCCCAGCTGGTTGTGAGGTTACTGTCCCTAGTAAGAGGTCTCGAGTTCGAAACCCGCTAGGCACATAAGGGTTCGAAATTTAATGGAGTGAGTTTCGGCTCTGATTACTCCAGGCTCGCCCAGCCTCCCTCCCCCAGACCCCCCCTCCCCGGAGTAAAAAGAAGAAGAAGTATTTATATTTCATTCCCCAAATAGTATTTATTTGATTCTACTAAAAGTATTAAAGTTCCTTAAGTAGGATAAATAAATCATGTTTTAGAAAAAACACACACATTAATTTAACCATTTGCCCGTGTTTTAGTCTTTCAGCGATTTTCTCTTAACTAAATCAAACACATTAGTTTAACCATTTCCTCAAGGCCCGTCAGATTAATTGCATCACAATCTCAAATAGGACCTCGATCACCACATCATTTTGTGTACATTATTGTTGTCACAATGCTAAACATGAAGAACATATATAGTGAGCGCATCACGTCTGATTTAAAGTGTCGTTTGCACCGTTCTCACATATACGAAGTATATAGAGAACATAAAGTTTTATTAAGGAGAGGGCAAGAGAACAGGGCCGGTTCAGGGGGGAGGGCAAGAGGGGCGACTGCCCTAGGCCCGGAAAAAAATAGAAGAAAAAATAGGCCCAAATTTGTTTCTTTATGTATGGTGTTAGTAGGTGTCTTTTTTTAATTCTTAAGGTCAGTTAATTAGGCCTAATGTTTAATTTTGTTGACAATTTGAAAATTTAAAATGTAAATAAAATTTTTTAAACAGAGCCAAGTTTAAAAAAAGAATATATACATTAATATTAAGTAGGATCAGTTGTAGTTTTTAAAAGCAATACAATTGTTGCTCCATCAATAAAAGAATATATACATTAATTTTGAGTAGGATATGTTGTAGTCTTTACATCTCTTTAGCCTTTAAGGCTTTTTATCCATTTAATTATAACATAACAAATTTATATAATTATTTTAGAGCCCATCTCTCTCAAATCTCATCCAAATTATTTATTTGTTTCCAAATTTCAATAAACTATATCTGAGTTCCTAATAGTAGTTTAGAGGATGTCAAATTGGCAGTCTTCTTGCACGAGTGTTCTTAGCGGCCATACATTTTGTCTCTTTGAAAACCTTCATTCTTTCGAGAGTTCAAACTTTAGACTCCCATCAACGGTCAATAAATCATTCTCAACTTATGAATTCAATATGTAGTGATATTTTTTTCATATTTCCTTTCAAAAAAAGTTTAGTGTTGTTATATGTGGCAATTTTATTGTTTGTCATGTATTAATAGAAAGAAGGTCGCCTATGAAGCGATTATTGATTATTTGCTTCATATTGTTCTACGAGAAATGTTTTTTACTGATGTTTTTTCTTTTTATCCGATGCTTGTGTTGTTACTTTTGCCCAATATGTAACTTAAATAATAATAATAATAATAATAATAATAATAATAATAATAATAATAATAATAATAATAATAAAGTGATTTTTTACTTTATTTTATGAACTTCATTGGATTTTTTTTATATTTCTTATTTCAAATAAGTATACGGTCATAGGCCCAGAATAGCGTACCGCCCATAGGCCCAGAAATGGTCAGGACCGGCCCTGCAAGAGAAAGTACTCGAATCAAAGAAAAGTAGCTAAAGGGGAAAATAAAGAAACGAACAAACATGCAAAATCAAAACCAACCCAAAATGCAACAAAAACCCCTCCAGGATCCCTAAGATCTTAATCCAGTCTTCCGAACTCCATATGTGATTGGGATCGGATCTAGTCCGCATGTGATGCGATCATTGTGCTTTTTCCCGTAAAGTTTTACTCCGTATTTGAGTGTTTAACTTTGTTGGTAAGTATGGTAGTTTTCCACTGTGACCACTTAGCTTTGTAGCGAATATTCTGTTTCGTGTCAGAATCTAATAGATCCTCCTATGATGATATAGGAGCTCTTTTCTCGCTCCTACATATTGATGAGATTTGTGTAGAGATTTTTCTACAAGGATCACACCCACAAATTGATGATTTAGTTAATTCATAAAATTAATGAAGAACATTCTATTCTTCCATTATTAACACTTAAAAATAGACCCAAGGATGATTGTTATTAGCATGCACCGTAAATTAATACGAAGTAGCAAAATAGCGGACACTGGACACATACACATAGGGTTTTCCTAAGAGGTTTTCCTGGCAGACGTTTTCCATGAGCGTTATCAGCTGAAATTGCAGAGGTCTGGAAAACCTTGCTACGATACAAGTGACATCATACAATCTTTGGATGCATCGTCCATTCATATATCATCTTTCTTGTAGAGATGAAGGTTTGGAGTTTGAGGGTGTAAGAAATTCCACACTCCCAGGGTTTTCAAAATAGCTTTGGTTTCGACTACGAAGGGCAAAGTGGTGGACTAATTTGGATGGAACGATGACATGAAAGTGGAGATTGTGGCACCATATCATACCTTTATTGACTGCAAGATTAGCTCGTTAATGTGAATTTTGCAGTGAAGGATGTTGATCTTTTATGGGTATCATGTGAGCAGTCAAAGAAAGGAAGCCTGGGATCTCCTAAAATCTCTAGCAGGAACAATATAATTATCAAAAATGGTAGTTGGTGATTTTAATGATCGACCTAATGTATGTCAAGCAATAGAGGGGACATATTCCTCATCTAGACTGAAGTTGAGATGGTTTAGGGAAGCCATTAAGGAGATCGAGTGGACTCCGTAATTTTCCTTTCAAGGGTTACCGGTGAACATAGGAACGTCGGAGAGGAACATGAGCTTGGATTGAGGACAAGCTTGATAGAGTTCAACTAATAAATGATGATTGGTGGAACTTCTTCAATGTCACTCATGCTATGTCGGTGGAAGCCTCAACTAACAACCACATGACTATAAGCATTAAACATTAGCATTTTGAGGCTACCTGCAGAAGGAAGTCCTTTAAGTTTGAAAAATGGCTTAGAGAAGAAGAGTTTCGTTTTAGTGCGAGCAACAAATGACGGGGGAATGGCGTCCTCACTTTAAGTGAACTGATTTTCTTTTGTGGAAAGCAGCCTCAAAGACTGTATTGCAGGAAGAAAAGGGGCTTCAAAGCCTAGATAGATGGATCATGCATACAAATAGAGACTCTTGTGGTTGCGGGGTAAGAACGAAAACTAGAGCTCTATGGAGTACGTTTCTCCACGCCCGATTCTCCTTGTTGATGTTGATGGATAGAGTGAACGTGTACTAATGACAGAGGGCAAAAAAAAATTGGTTAGAGGAAGGTGATATCAATTCTAAATTTTTCCGCAATGCAATTAATCAAATATGCCTTCAGAATAGAATATAGGG